AGTACGATATACCAAGTCGTCAGTACGATATACTTAGTCGTCAGTACGATATACTTAGTCGTCAGTACGATATACCAAGTCGTCAGTACGATATACCAAGTCGTCAGTACGATATACCAAGTCGTCAGTACGATATACTTAGTCGTCAGTACGATATACTTAGTCGTCAGTACGATATACCAAGTCGTCAGTACGATATACTTAGTCGTCAGTACGATATACCAAGTCGTCAGTACGATATACCAAGTCGTCAGTACGATATACCAAGTCGTCAGTACGATATACCAAGTCGTCAGTAAGTCGTCAGTACGATATACCAAGTCGTCAGTACGATATACCAAGTCGTCAGTACGATATACCAAGTCGTCAGTACGATATACCAAGTCGTCAGTACGATATACCCAGTCGTCAGTACGATATACCAAGTCGTCAGTAGTACGATATACTAAGTCGTCAGTACGATATACTTAGTCGTCAGTACGATATACCAAGTCATCAGTACGATATACCAAGTCGTCAGTAGTCGTCAGTACGATATACCAAGACGTCAGTACGATATACCAAGTCGTCAGTACGATATACCAAGTCGTCAGTACGATATACCAAGTCGTCAGTACGATATACCAAGTCGTCAGTACGATATACCCAGTCGTCAGTACGATATACCAAGTCGTCAGTACGATATACCAAGTCGTCAGTACGATATACTTAGTCGTCAGTACGATATACCAAGTCGTCAGTACGATATACCAAGTCGTCAGTACGATATACTTAGTCGTCAGTACGATATACCAAGTCGTCAGTACGATATACCAAGTCGTCAGTACGATATACCAAGTCGTCAGTACGATATACCAAGTCGTCAGTACGATATACCAAGACGTCAGTACGATATACCAAGTCGTCAGTACGATATACCCAGTCGTCAGTACGATATACCAAGTCGTCAGTACGATATACCAAGTCGTCAGTACGATATACCAAGTCGTCAGTACGATATACCAAGTCGTCAGTACGATATACCAAGTCGTCAGTACGATATACTTAGTCGTCAGTACGATATACCAAGTCGTCAGTACGATATAGTTCAGTCAGTACGATATACAAGTCGTCAGTACGATATAGTCGTCAGTACGATATACCAAGTCGTCAGTACGATATACCAAGTCGTCAGTACGATATACCAAGTCGTCAGTACGATATACCAAGTCGTCAGTACGATATACCAAGTCGTCAGTACGATATACAAGTCGTCAGTACGATATACCAAGTCATCAGTACGATATACCAAGTCGTCAGTACGATATACTTAGTCGTCAGTACGATATACCAAGTCGTCAGTACGATATACCAAGTCGTCAGTACGATATACCAAGTCGTCAGTACGATATACCAAGTCGTCAGTACGATATACCAAGTCGTCAGTACGATATACTTAGTCGTCAGTACGATATACTTGGTCGTCAGTACGATATACCAAGACGTCAGTACGATATACCAAGTCGTCAGCACGATATACTAAGTCGTCAGTACGATATACCAAGTCGTCAGTACGATATACCAAGTCGTCAGTACGATATACATAGTCGTCAGTACGATATACCAAGTCGTCAGTACGATATACCAAGTCGGTAGTACGATATACCAAGTCGTCAGTACGATATACCAAGTCGTCAGTACGATATACCAAGTCGTCAGTACGATATACCAAGTCGTCAGTACGATATACCAAGTCGTCAGTACGATATACCAAGTCGTCAGTACGATATACCAAGTCGTCAGTAGTCGTCAGTACGATATACCAAGTCGTCAGTACGATATACAGTACGATATAAGTCGTCAGTACGATATACCAAGTCGTCAGTACGATATAGTCGTCAGTAGATATACGTCGTCAGTACGATATAGTCGTCAGTACGATATACATAGTCGTCAGTACGATATACCAAGTCGTCAGTACGATATACCAAGTCGTCAGTACGATATACTTAGTCGTCAGTACGATATACCAAGTCGTCAGTACGATATACCAAGTCGTCAGTACGATATACTAAGTCGTCAGTACGATATACTTAGTCGTCAGTACGATATACGTAGTCGTCAGTACGATATACTTAGTCGTCAGTACGATATACTTAGTCGTCAGTACGATATACCAAGTCGTCAGTACGATATACCAAGTCGTCAGTACGATATACCCAGTCGTCAGTACGATATACATGGTCGTCAGTACGATATACTTAGTCGTCAGTACGATATACCAAGTCGTCAGTACGATATACCAAGTCGTCAGTACGATATACCAAGTCGTCAGTACGATATACCAAGTCGTCAGTACGATATACCAAGTCGTCAGTACGATATACCAAGTCGTCAGTACGATATACTTAGTCGTCAGTACGATATACCAAGTCGTCAGTACGATATACTTAGTCGTCAGTACGATATACCAAGTCGTCAGTACGATATACCAAGTCGTCAGTACGGTATACTTAGTCGTCAGTACGGTATACTTAGTCGTCAGTACGATATACCAAGTCGTCAGTACGATATACCAAGTCGTCAGTACGATATACATAGTCGTCAGTACGATATACAAGTCGTCAGTACGATATACCAAGTCGTCAGTACGATATACCGAGTCGTCAGTACGATATACATCGTCGTCAGTACGATTTACTTAGTCGTCAGTACGATATACTTAGTCGTCAGTACGATATACCAAGTCGTCAGTACGTCAGTACGATATACAAGTCGTCAGTACGATATACCAAGTCATCAGTACGATATACCAAGTCGTCAGTACGATATACCAGTAGATATCGTCAGTACGATATACAAGTCGTCAGTACGATATACCAAGTCGTCAGTACGATATACCAAGTCGTCAGTACGATATATATACCTTAGTCGTCAGTACGATATACCAAGTCGTCAGTACGATATACCAAGTCGTCAGTACGATATACCAAGTCGTCAGTACGATATACCAAGTCGTCAGTACGATATACCAAGTCGTCAGTACGATATAAGTCGTCAGTACGATATAGTCGTCAGTACGATATAAGTCGTCACGTACGATATACCAAGTCGTCAGTACGATATAGTCGTCAGTACGATATACGTCAGTACGATATACCAAGTCGTCAGTACGATATACCAAGTCGTCAGTACGATATACCAAGTCGTCAGTACGATATACTTAGTCGTCAGTACGATATACTTAGTCGTCAGTACGATATACTTAGTCGTCAGTACGATATACCAAGTCGTCAGTACGATATACTTAGTCGTCAGTACGATATACTTAGTCGTCAGTACGATATACGTAGTCGTCAGTACGACAGGTTTTTCTCTGACTCTAACAGCCTTCTGTAAAAGGGAAAATTGCCCAAGTTTTAAATATTTTCTGCAGAACCATCAGTCCTGTAGCCGGAGGTCTTTCAGTGACGGAAATGTCCTAAGCTGCTTGATCAAAAGTTATCAATTCAAGTTCTATTTTTTGTGTTTTGTTAATCAAAAGGAAAAATAACATCGTCTGAGATAAAACAACACTATTTACTCATTAACAATAACATTTTATTCGCTCACTCAGTAACCAGCTTACATATGTAGTTTTATAGTTTTGGTCCGCGAGACATTCGCATTAACAGTATGTACAAATTTACAAAGTTCTCCGTCACCTGCTCAGATCCATATATATATACACATATATATATATATATGGATGTCAAATAAAATATCACCGGTCTACAAACCAATATTACTTGTCTGGCTGGGATAAACCAAATATCACCTGCCTAACTATGAGTAAAACTCGTCAATACCACCGATCTATTACCAATATCACCCGCATAGTTGATGGTAAACATATATCACCTGCCTAACTGGAAGTAAAGTTAACCAGTATCACCGGTCTACACACCAATATTACGTGTTTATTTGAGAGTAAACGCAAATATCACCTGTCTAACTGGAAGTAAAGTTAACCAGTATCACCGGTCTACACACCAATATTACGTGTTTATTTGAGAGTAAACGCAAATATCACCTGTCTAACTGGAAGTAAATTAACCAATATCACCGGTCTACACACCAATATTACGTGTCTCATTGAGAGTAAACGCATATATCACCTGTCTACACACAAATATCACCTGTGTAGGTCTGTGTATACATTCGGATTTTCTAATATGAACTAAAACATCCTTAACGAAAAAAATCAAGTGGTTCACAGTATTTACAACGATATTGAGGACATGAACATCAAGGCAGTGGTTTATAGGCTGAAGACAAAAATATGATTGCCCCCAACGTGGTTATGCTGCACAACATCTGCTTCGTGACGTTGGTGTCTCATGATGAAGAATACATGACATTGGTCTGACACCATTATATAATACATGACGTCAGTCTGACATCGCTAGTTGTAATACAAGATAATGACCTACATATGAGGATGAGACAAAGTATTTGTTAGGTGTATTTACATTTAATATATCACTGCATTGATGCATATCTGCCCCATACCCCTCATCGCCCCATCCACTCGCCTCCCCATACCCCTCATCATCCCATGCCCCTCGCCGCCCCATGCCCCTCGCCGCCAACCCCGGCACCACTCTGCGTCTACCTATCCCGCCCGCCCTGTCTCTATATCACGAGCCCGCCCCTACCCATTTCTATAGATACCAAGCTCCAAGTGGGAAGCCCAGGCGTGAAAGGTTGATCTAATATTGTGCTAACAAACAAAAACATCAATGTACTAACAAACAATAATATGAAATGAATGGAATAAACAAAAAAAGTCTCATGTGTAACAAATGGAATGGACATGATGATACCATCACAACGATGAATGTTCGATGCGCAGGTCACGCACCTGATCACGTGACAGAAAATGTAGGACAACTAGTGGCCAAGGAAGTCATTTCGAATTAAATGTACATGTGTGTTAACATGCAACACGAGTCTTGTGTATGAGAACCCGGTCCTGGTATCTACGATGTTTGCGGGAGAGGCACTGTGTAGCCCGGGGGATACGCTCCGCGACGTCTACGCCCACAACACCGCTGGATGATTTCCAACGTCAAATCTATGGTTTTGGCAACGTCATTCACATCACCTAACATCGGGTTGACTTCTGCAATGTCAACCACGGACATTCGACCTGTGAACAGAAAAAGGTGAGGCAGGTGAATTTCAGGTTGAAAACAATTATTCGATTCCATTTTAAACATTATTATATATTAAGAGCGCATCAACACTGAATGACTTTCTGCGTACCTGTGGCGGCCATTTCCTCTGCTATATATAGCCCCTCCCTCAGGGACAATCCGCCGTGCACGGGCGTTCCCGTACTAGGTATCATGGTAGGGTCCAGAGCGTCAACATCAAAGCTCAAATGGATCGGTTTCTCACCGCTGGAAGTAGAAAAGACATTTAAATGAAACCAGTATGGAATGTTGAACGTTTGTTCTCAATGTCCTTATAGGTTTCCGACAGACAGCAGAAACAGTTGTATGGGGTCTTGTTTTGTACTGACATAGTATAAGTCTGGTGATAAGTATAGGTAAAACATATATCAATTTCCATTAAGTACAAAGGAAAGGAAACCACCAATAACAAACTCACTTTGGATCTACTGCCTTTATGGCCATGTCCACGACTTCCTTTATTCCGAATTTGTCAACTTCCTGCATAGAGAATGCGTGAATGCCCAACATTTCGATGATTTTCCTGCAAAAATGTAAAATTTCTATAAATATCGTGCCTGGATGGTTTACCAATTAATATATATTGCTATGTAGGTTGACGATGGTCCGAACAGTGCCTAATCGGCTAGTTACCTACCTCTCGCCAGGATCCACATCCCGTAAACCGATGTAGGCCAGGTTCTTGGCAGAAATACTGTAATGGAATAATAGGTGTGTTATCATCACTAAGATGTAGTATACGCGTCTACTATATATAATATAATAGGTATGGGGGAGTTTGTCATCTAACATCACATCACCTTTTCGATAGCCAAAAGACTGCATTCTACAATTTGTAGACATGTACAATTCACTTACGAGAGAAAAGACAAAGCGTTCTAAAACATGCGGTAGTAACTGGCCGTTAGTAACTGTGATAATAAATCACGTCATGTGACATCTCACTATGATATCATAAACTGGTAGATCTATTAGTATTTTTCAGTAATAGACATTAATATAGAGCCCGTGAATATACCTGCTTCGTCTGGACTTTTGCTCTAAAAATTGAATGTCGTTTGAGTGTACGGCCAGCATTGAGCAATATGATACGTTACATGTGGGTCAAGGATAATTACCAGGGTTTGACATACTCCAGGCCCGGAAGTTCCGGCATATACTGATCGAGTTCCTTGATGAGAAAAGACAACGGCATTCCATGCATATTTCCACTTCCGGAAGTCAGTGGCGTGTTTATGTCTGCGTGAGCATCGACCCAGATGATGACGACATCCGGTTGAGCATGCCAGTGTCCGTATATGGAGCCTATGGCCATGCTATGGTCACCGCCTAGGGCCAGCACTGTTTTGTTGTCCTTCAGTATGTTTTCAACCGACTTGGCAATCTAGATAAAAAAAATATGTTTGTTTCAGCATTTTTTTTCAGTAATTGCTTTTAGTGAAGTTAAGCAGCTTACTGCGACACCGACCATCCTAAGTGTGGATGCATGCGCTGTGATCACTAATGTCTGAAATGTTCTGAGAGAACAACAAATATTTATGGATTATGACTAATTGTTTAAATGATCAACATTTAATCATTACCGATGTCAAGTCTAATTACCATATATAGTGCGCATGCGTACTTACCATTTCCGATGCAGCCCCGACAGTCTTAGGATTCTTCGTGTTTCCAATCTGCAAGTCGTCCGGGTGAGTTTCGAACATGAGGTCACCATAGTCAGTTACGTCGATACCTTGCTCCTTCAATTTTTCCATCAATCCAGCTTCCCTGAGCTTCTGAGGCGCTAAGTCTGTCCCATGACGCGACTGAAAGAATTATCATATAGTTGTGAAGTTATCACCATTATGTTACAGACCGGCAATAAGTTCTTATTAGTGAATACTACACATATTCACAGGACTGTACGCAGGTCGTTAACCCCAATACATGTCCCCATGACTCTGCTGAGGCGGTCATGCTCAACCTGCCCTCATTTGACCTAACAAACTAACACGACCATGCACCTCCCAATTACCTACATGTATTGCCACCAGACATCAAGACATGATGTGGAGGCGTCCATTATCTGCAGTTACTGGCTTATGACGGGCATTTACATTAATACGGGTGGACTGAATTATCTAAATAAAATAGAAGACGTTGCCCCTTCCTGGGTCAATGACCTAACTGCAGAGATCGCCAACAGAAATGCTTAACAAGAATTTCCTTTAAGAAGGATTTCTTTTATTTCTTGGTCAAATTCAAATGTTCTAAGGTAAATGAATGACATACGTAGTCCAAATTATTTCCTTTTCCATTTTAATATACATAACTATGCCGCCTTTCCATTTAAAGATACATAACCACGTTCTCGTTCCGTTTTAAGATATGCAATCGCTTTCTCGTTCTATTTTATGTCCGTAATCACGTTCTCGTTCTATTTTCTGTCCATAATCAAGTTCTCGTTCTATTTTGGATACCTAAGCATGTTCTCGTTCTATTTTTAGTTACGTAACGATATTTTAGTTCTATTCTTTGATATGTAATCATGCCCTGATTTTACAATTTTGAGATTTATCTATATAATGCACTTTTTTCGATCAATTTTGATTTTCCTCAGTCCCCTCCTAGGTTTCAAAATTCAGACCCATAGCGTCTCTGACGAGTCCTAGAAGGATGAAACAACTGTATTGATGAAGTTTAAATCATTTCATTCATAATGTATTTCATTTTAAGTCTGCATTGAAGGTGACATTCACTTATAAATGTATGTATTGTACACAAGTCCAGGCGATACTAGGATTAATAAGTGTTATCCACCTCTTTTTACAGTGTTAAAAACCACGTACAGCCAATCTTTCCCGTTAAGGGTTAGTTTCAGGCAACAGATGACTGAGCATCTTCGTGACAAAGACGTGATCAATCGCGCTACATGTCTTGCTAATTCTATTAAGATATCATCACATATTTCTACGGATATTTTCAAAATGTTCCAACTTCCTGGATTATCGCAACCTAACAAATAGCTGCAGCTTTGCATCGTGTTCATAGCCAAATACAGATGCACCTTTTCGACTAACGCGCTTTGATGCCCGCAAACTAGTACGCAATACAAAGCCTTTGTGAAATACGATAGTCACTGGGTTTGATAGGTCACTTGGTAAACTAGAAAAAATATAAGATGTTCCGGTAAATTCTCTTTTCTTTCTTTTTTGAATTCGCCACCGAGTGTGTGTGTGATTCTCGGAGAAAGGTAGTTCTTAACTCGATCGACATCTAAAGTCAACATGACCAAACCACGCTGTGACGTGAACGCTGCTTAACGAAATAGATTGCATGAAGAACTGATGCATGACCAACCAGAATACAGTCACCCCATGTCGTGGCTCGACGTCAGTGATCATGAATGGGAAGAGTATTTACTCCACTGAGTACGGTGTTCATGTTATAGCTATAATTCATAGTCTCCTGCCAACATGATCACGCAAACTTATCGTAAATCGTCGGCGTAGTGAGTGCAATCGTCAGCCAGATCTGGGTCAATCATAACGCAACGCTTCGTCACATCTTATCATGACTAGTAAAAATTATCCCATAACCAATAAATATCACGGATGTCCTCCTGGTATTCTTGTTTCAGTTAACAACCTCCAAAAAGGATTTCATAAATACTACAGCTATAGGTTTGTTTTCAGACAGACGGTATCTACATACATCAACGTTAGAGACGTTGCTGTTCTTATTTTGCCGCGGTCGCGATATTGTACATTTGTAATAATTATTTATCATTAAGATTGAGAGAATGAGTTTATATATAGATATGATATAGGTATATTTTTCCATACATCATATACCTAATCTATACCGGGTATGTTTCAATTTAAACTGTCTTCCATACTCAAACATACTGCTTCGAAAAAACTTTCTACATATACCCAAGGAGAAAATTGTAATTGAATTTTGGTCAATAAATGTGATTAAAATAACGTAACTAAAAATGTAACAACAGCTCGGCTCAATTCACTTAATCTGTATATACTATACAGCTTACAATCGTTTTGATAGAAGTAATTGTTGTCGACCGAATGTCCTATCTACTTGGAATTGTTGCCTGGTCTATTTATATAAGGACTAACAAAGGTCTGTTATAATCATCGCTAAAGTGTTACACCATTCTTGGACTGTATCATTGTTATTGTTGCCCGTACCTATTTTATGGTCAACTGTGCGCAACACAGATCCAGCTATAGAAGACCTGATCCTGACAGTATGTCTGTGTTGTTTATATCACTCGTGGTCGGAATTAGCAGACCCACAATGTTATATACATGTTTATATTCATTAGTAGTGGCTTAACGCCAAGTTACTATCAAAATATGAAAAATGTATTCACACAACAACTCCATACACTTGACTAACAACACATCACTACAAAGAAAAATACGTAATTAATAGAATATGGGGGTGTGTTCATTTCGACCAATCAGATCGGTGTTGACGTTACGCGATACATCTAGGATTTACTGTGTAGAGTTTGTTGGTGCAATAATAATAATAATTAAAACATCATTTTACCTCATGTGTATTGAACAATCATTTGACAAAAACATTTTAAAAACTAGCCTAGCTAAGAAGATCCTAGGTAAGGCAGATATCGAACTCCTGTTGTCGACATTAGGATTGAAGTCTTGTCTTCTAATTGTTGTTCTTTAAAATATTTCACACTGCCGAATTAATTGTTTGTAAATGCTTTCTTCCGATAATTGGCTTTTTGATTTAAAAATCAAACCACAAAATCAAACTTTCTTGTCGTAGTTTTTTAACCTTCATTTCTTTATTCCGATGATTATCTTTTGAATTAAACATTACTAGTGTTTTATATTGTCTAACACTTGAAAAAACAATTTACAACGATATCTAATTCAAAATGACGATTGTTTTCGCATATTACGATTACGATTTGAATATTAAAGGGTTAGCTGTTGTTAATTAACAATGGTAATTAAAAGAAAATTCCTACCTGGCCTTTGCTGAACGGGATTCCGATCACGCCAATCTCTTGAGATGCTGTGACTTCAGGCATTTTTTCTATTGCGCTGATGAGATCTTCTAAGGTTGATCACTAGTTTACTTTAAGTCAAAATCGCCCACTTTGTGTCTTTTATATATCCCTAGTTTTTTCTTCACTGTTGAAACATATACGAGGTGTGTCTAAATTGACCAATGATGTTCTATCATTTTCGTGACGTCACATTTTGGCAGAAATTGAGGCCCGAAAAGGGGTTTTTCGAGTGTAAGTTGATATATAGCCATACGTAGGCTAATTATAATTTTTCTGACGAAACTTGTTTTAGATGGTATCAATGTTTATTCGTGTGTTTTTGCCAAACTGACAGCAGTGTATTTAGGTCGTGTTCATTGGTGTGGAAAATTATGCGATGCGGGTAATGTGCCAGTTAAAAAATGTATACATGTATATATGTATAATAATACACATGTGTGTGTACTGAATATAGGCTTGAGACACACATGTGTAATTAGTAATCGAGGTCGACAAAAAAACTTGGGAACAATTTCGTATACCCAGATTCCTGGAAAACGAAAGCTGTTGATGAAGCTATCCCATCTATACATGTATATATATATATATATATATGCATATATATAGGTATAAATTTATCCCCAAAAGCATAATATATGTATATACAGCTGTTTTAATTACGGGTGTTATGTACTATGGATTGGGCGTAGCATTATCAGATACCATGGGGTGACTTTATGAATACTATATACACTGTGAGATGAAAGTCCTGGTGGAATGCATCAACTAGAGGAAGATCATGAAATGTAAAAGTACTTCCTAAAGTCAGTAAAACCGGTCACGTCTCGCTGCATCTCAGTCGCTCAAACACTTTAAACTATTTAAAACTCTGCTGTCATGTTTGTGTGTCATTTCTAATAAGGTGTTATAATGTGTGGACTACAAACATCAAGTACACATTCATTGAATTACTCGTGAGACTAAAAGTGGATCATAAAAGCTACATAGGAGAGATAACTATTTTCCACATATTTCTAAAACATTTTCACATATTCTGCTAATTAAATAGCCCCAGCGAAAATGTATTCGCTTATGAATGTCCCTGTAGATAAGTTGCCGCTCTCATTTTGAGACAATTTTAACTATGGGATATATAAAACCATTAAGATAATTAATCCGTATCACATTCAGCATGGTCCAGAAACCGAACAGCATTTTCAAAGTCCGAAGACATTTCAGTGTGTAAAATCACGAAATGTAGGTCCCCGTTTTTTTTTCTTCAATTGATGTAGTTTGTAGAGGATGTCATCAAAATTTGTTCCTAATTAATAAACCAGCGAAAAGGAGTAAAGTAAGTTACACTACACATAGCATTGGGATGCACTTAATCAGACGACAGAGGTTAAAGTTCAAGTGGTCAGACATTAGACATGGATGATCAGACACTATACTTATTAGACACAGGTGATCAAACACAGTCTTTGTTTTTAGACACAGGTGATCAGACACTGTTTTTATTTTTAGACACGGGTGATCAGACACTGTTTTTATTTTTAGACACGGGTGATCAGACACTGTTTTTTGTTTTTAGACACGGGTGATCAGACACTGTTTTTTATTTTTAGACACGGGTGATCAGACACTGTTTTTATTTTTAGACACGTGTGATCAGACACTGTTTTTTTATTTTTAGACACGTGTGATCAGACACTGTTTTTATTTTTAGACACGTGTGATCAGACACTGTTTTTTATTTTTAGACACGGGTGATCAGACACTGTTTTTATTTTTAGACACGGGTGATCAGACACTTTTTTATTTTTAGACACGTGTGATCAGACACTGTTTTTATTTTTAGACACGTGTGATCAGACACTGTTTTTTTATTTTTAGACACGGGTGATCAGACACTGTTTTTTATTTTTAGACACGGGTGATCAGACACTGTTTTTATTTTTAGACGTGTGATCAGACACTTTTTTATTTTAGACACGGGTGATCAGACACTGTTTTTATTTTTAGACACGGGTGATCAGACACTTTTTGTTATTACACACTGTATTTGTTATTTGAGACAAGTGATGATACAAAGTGTTTGTTGTACGACACAGGTAATCAATCAGACACCGCTTATATTATGTATAGGATTGTCATACACTATTTGCTATAATTCAGACAATGGCGATGGGAGTACCAGTTGTTAGATTGGACGATCAATTTGTCTGTTGTCCGATCTTTGTTGTAGTCTATGACGATCAATTTGTCTGTTGTCCGATCTTTGTTGTGGTTTATGACGATCAATTTGTCTATTGTCCGATCTTTGTTGTGGTCTATGACGATCAATTTGTCTATTGTCCGATCTTTGTTGTAGTCTATGACGATCAATTTGTCTGTTGTCCGATCTTTGTTGTGGTTTATGACGATCAATTTGTCTGTTGTCCGATTTTTGTTGTGGTCTATGACGATCAATTTGTCTGTTGTCCGATCTTTGTTGTGGTCTATGACGATCAATTTGTCTGTTGTCCGATCTTTGTTGTAGTCTATGACGATCAATTTGTCTGTTGTCCGATCTTTGTTGTAGTCTATGACGATCAATTTGTCTGTTGTCCGATCTTTGTTGTGGTCTATGACGATCAATTTGTCTGTTGTCCGATCTTTGTTGTAGTCTATGACGATCAATTTGTCTGTTGTCCGATCTTTGTTGTAGTCTATGACGATCAATTTTTCTGTTGTCCGATCTTTGTTGTGGTCTATGACGATCAATTTGTCTATTGTCCGATCTTTGTTGTAGTCTATGACGATCAATTTGTCTGTTGTCCGATCTTTGTTGTAGTCTATGACGATCAAATTGCCTGTTGTCCGATCTTTGTTGTAATCTATGACGATCGGTTTGCAGTTGTCTGTGTTTCGTTGTAGACTATGGCGATCGAGTTGTCAGTTGGCCGATCTTAGCTGCAATCTCTGATGACCAAGTTGTGAGCTGATCGAGTCTTGCTGTAACCTAAGACGATCGAGTTGTCAGTTGGCCGACTTTTTGCTGCAATCTCTGACGATCGAGTTGTCAGTTGGCCGATCTTTGCTGTAACCTCTGATGATCAAGTTGTCCTTTGGCCGATCTTTGCTGTAGCCTATGACGATCGAGTTGTCAGTTGGCCGATCTTTGCTGTAACCTCTGATGATCAAGTTGTCAGTTGGCCGATCTTTGCTGTAGCCTATGACGATCGAGTTGTCAGTTGGCCGACCTTTGCTGTAACCTATGGCGATCGAGTTGTCAGTTAGCCGACCTTTGCTGCAATCTCTGATGATCGAGTTGTCAGTTGGCCGATTTTAGCTGTAACCTCTGACGATCGAATTGTCAGTTAGCCGATCTTTGCTGTAACCTATGACGATCGAATTGTCAGTTGTGTATGCTTTGCTGTAACCCATGGCGATCGAGTCGTCAGTTGTCATATGTGAAATTACCTCAGATATGTCCGATGGTAGAGTGTCGACTGCTTGCCAGGTTGTAAAGCATACGTGTCAAGACCGTGTAGAACAGACTTGGGATGAAAGTTTCTCCATAAAACGTGGCAAACGATTCGCTTTGTTAATATGGGCGCCGTTTAATTAAATATTACAGAGAGTTTTAACAAGAAAGTAGAGCTATTCAAGTGAATTGTATAGAACACAAAAGTGAATAGCACCTTTCAATACAAATTTAGACCTGGAACTGCATCATACGGCTGTTTCGTCTCAATAGGTCTCTTCAATGACACCAAGAACCTAAGTTTGGAAATCTAGGACGCTAATGGGGGAAGTCAGTAATGATAGATAAAAAATCTCAAAATGTAGACTACGAGATGCACTATTCTCATAATTCAGTTAATTCCGTAATTTTCATTTATTTGATAGTTTTAAAAGAATGTCACGTAAATGTGTATACTCAGAGCCTGGTCACGTACATGTGTAACTCTGAGCCTCGTCACGAACACGTGTATGTCCAAAACTCGCATGCATAAAAACGTGACATGCAGTTAGCGGCAGACCTCGATGATTTAAAGCAGCTGTGTCTGCTATACCTGCAACCCAGAATATTGTACAAAAGACACGCACGCTTTAGGCCTAAATAGGAATCTATATAAAACACGGAATTTGAATACCGGTAGTAAGACACCTAGCTATATAGGTCAATGGCCAGACGGCGTGAAGCTACTGTATACATTAACAGTGTTGTAAGAGAGAGTAGAACAAGTGGTAAGGGGGATATAGTCCTCGTTAATGTTCGAATATTCTCCCGTAGAAATGTGTTTCTGTACATACTGCTCTAAATAGGTCGGCTCAATTTCTAATAACTTTTCAAATTTCATACATATATAGTTATTAATTTGAATTAAATGGTTATTATTTAAAACGAGAGTTTATCTTTATCTCTGGGTACAGAATTAAAAGAAATGCAACACTTTAGCAATTCTGATTCAAAATATGTTCATAATTTAATTGTGTGGTGACAAAGTATGCCCCTTCGACCCCCTCCCTCAACCATTACGCACGCACAACCACTTTCCAACAAACCCTCACATACCACCACATTCCCCAACAAACACTACACACACACAAAACCACCATCACCACCACCACCACCACCACGTTCCTCTACCACACACACCTTCACACACCACACACAACCTAACACACCACATTCCATCACGAATACTGCTACCACCATCACCACCACATTCCACCACACACATCGCTACCACCATCACCACCACATTCTACCTAACACTGCTACCACACTCACCACCACATTCCATCACACACATCGCTACCACCATCACCACCACCACCACCACCTCAACCACCACCGGTGTACCTGTGTACGATATGTATTCGGTATATGTCGGTACACTGGTGTACCTGTGTACTTTATATGTCGGTACACTGGTGTACATGTATTCGGTATATGTCGGTACACTGGTGTACCTGTGCACAATATTTATACGGTATATGTCGGTACACCGGTGTACCTGTGTACGGTATATGTCGGTACCCTGGTGTACCTGTGTACAATATTTATA